ACGTGCATTGCGGCTAAAACATCCCAATCAGCGAGCTGATGATCTTTCCTACGTCACTTTACAGCCCTGCTCACTTTTGGGGGAAAACCAGCTGTCATTTGAACGGCGATCAAGCCTGAAGCCACAGAGCTCTTCTGTTGTATACTGTCCTTTCTTCTTAGAGGAAGTACAGAAACACGTAACTCTGGATTTGTTTTTAATGTTTGAGGTGCAATAAACGACACAGCAGCTTTTTGGCATGTTAAAACTATTATTTTCTGCCTCGCAGCTGGCGAAATTACAGCCTCGCCTACTGATTTTAATTTAACATAGGATATCAAGCCCGATCGTCGATTTCAAATGTGTGCTCTAAAATGATATTAATAAATTACTATTATCATTATTATAAGCTAGAAAATAAATGTCAAAAATAGGTAGAAAGCAAACGTATTTAAGATATGTTCAGAACAAACGTAACGTGGGACCAAAATACGTTTCTTGTTAAACGTAATTGAGAATGCTGTATGAAACGACTACAAACAATATTGTGATTATTAACCATTAACCAGCATAATAAACGGATTTGGTCAACTGAAAAGTCAGCCGCCAGCCAGCGCGAAAATAAGTTTGCTCTAAATGATATTAATAAATTACTATTATCATTATTATAAGCTAGAAAATAAATGGCAAATATAGGTAGAAAGCAAACGTATTTGAGATACGTTCATAACAAACGGCATGTGGGAGAAAATAGGTTTCTAGAAGATATGTAGAAAATAAACGTATTTAAGATATGTTCATAACAAACGTAACGTGGAAGGAAATACGTTTCTTGCGAAACGTATTTGAGAATGCAGTTTAGTTTTGTGGGAACGTAATTTCTAGGAGACAGGGTTGTGACCCCTACACCACATACTGCTGCCATGGCACTGCACCCTCCTCATTGAAATAGGAGCAGAAGTTCTCCCGTAGTTGGAGCGACTCTGCGTGTGGCATTGTTGGAGCCCATCCTTGGTACATCACACAGGGTTGGAGTATCTGGAGCTTCATCCGTGGACTCCTCGACAGATGTGCGTGATTTCCTTCCTGTTGTCTTCCTGCAGAGGAAGTTGTGCAACACACAGGTGGCCTTCACACACAAACTCTGTTACCTCCGGGCTGGTGGTAATGACACGCCCTGAACATTCTCCACCGAGATGAGAGGATGCCAAACGCACATTCAACCACCAACCTGGCCCGGCTGAGGCGGTAGTTGAACATCCTCCTTTCGTGTGTGATCTGGCGTCCAAGGAATGGACGCAGCAGGTTGTCCAGCAGCGGAAAAGCCTCATCTCCAACAAACACATGGGGAAGAAGGCCCAGCCGCTCTGCTCCTGGGATGACGGTGTCAGGAGGTAGCTGCAGACTGCCATCTCGGAGGCTCTCTCCAAAGCGGAATTCCGCAGGCTCCCACTGTCGCTGCTCCTTCCAAAGCCTCCAACATCCACTACCCTGAAGAGGTACTGGGCATCCACGACAGCCAGTAGTACCAAGGAGTGGCTGGACTTATAATTGAAGTAGAGGGAGGGACCCAGAATTTGCCGGAGCCTGGATCACCACGTGCTTCCCATCAATGGCACCAACACAATTTGGAAAGTTCCAGATCTCCTGAAACTCAGCAGCGATGGCTCTCCAGTCCTCCATCTGTGGTACCGGCATGGTCTCCTCAACCAGGGATGACGATGTCAGGTGGTAGCTGCAGACTGCCATCTCGGAGGCTCTCTCCAAAAGCGGAATTCCGCAGGCTCCCACTGTCGCTGCTCCTTCCAAAGCCTCCAACATCCACTACCCTGAAGAGGTACTGGGCATCCACGACAGCCAGTAGTACCAAGGAGTGGCTGGACTTATAATTGAAGTAGAGGGAGGGACCCAGAATTTGCCGGAGCCTGGATCACCACGTGCTTCCCATCAATGGCACCAACACAATTTGGAAAGTTCCAGATCTCCTGAAACTCAGCAGCGATGGCTCTCCAGTCCTCCATCTGTGGTACCGGCATGGTCTCCTCAACCAGGGCAGTCCAGATGGCACCCGCAACCTCCCTGACGATGACAGCCACTGTTATATAACCGACCCTATAGCTGAATGCTATGGTCCTGTATGAGTCACCAGGTACCTGAGAAAAAAGTAATATACATGATTTAAAAATAAAACACACACACACACACACACACACACACACACACACACACACACACACACACACACACACACACACACACACACACACACAATTTAAAATGTGTGCCTCTACTGTGACATGTCTCCATGCTTTAAAAAGCTCTTTATTTTCTCATACTGCCTGTGCTGCAGCACCTCTTTTCACCCTCTGTCTGAAACCAGAGCCCAGTCTGCTCTGATTGGTTAGCTGGCCGGTTCTGTTGTGATTGGTCAACCGCTTAGAGATGTCCCGCCCCCTAGCCTATCACGTACAATGTGTTGGAGCGCTAGCCAATAGGAAAATGAGTGATACATAGTGATGTCACTATGTTACAGACGTAAACAAAGGAGTCCAATGGAGGGCAGGGGTTTTAGCCTTTGCAGACCATTTACATGCACACAAACCAATATAACGCAGTAGAAGGGAAACCCCAAAAAGCCTGTATACACAAGGCGTCTTTAAGGATCAAAACAATCAGCACCAGTGTTTCTAATACACAGAGAGACACACAAAAACGATAAACTTGTGGTTTTCTTCATAGGAGGAAAACAAGGTAGAGATCAGTACGTGCACGTTGCAAATGCTAGGACCTGGATTGCTGCTGAAGACCACTGCAGACAATTCTACACAGACCTGGCCAGTGTGAGGAATGATGCAGAGTATCAGATCATCAGGGAAGTAGCCGGGGACCAGCAAGTGTGGGTTGGCCTCTTCAGGGACATCTGGGTGTGGTCGGACCAGACATTATCCTCATTCAGATACTGGAAAACAGGCAAAGCTGTTTATACTCCATCTGACGGAAACTGTGGAGCTTTGATGAAGAGTGTTTCTGGACGATGGGGAGAACGGCTACGTGCAGAAAAACACCCGTTCCTCTGTAAATGTGGTGAGTTCTTCAATTTGATTCTTTCATATTCCCTGTTTAGTTCATTTTTTGAGCTCATAATCTAAATTATTTTATTATTTGTGAGAACAGGTGAACATACAGTATATGTCCATACAATAGTGTGTGTGTGAGCTTAAAGGTAGGGTAGGTAAGAATGGAGAAACTAGCTCGAGTAAGCTAGAATTTGAAAGTACACAACCGAAATAAATCTGCCCCTTCCTTCAGACTTCCTTACAGAGCCCCTCCTCCAACACACACGAACGCGCACATGACCAATGAGGGCACGAGATAAGTTTGTGCACGAGATGGAAGGCTGACAGGCAGGTAGGCCATCCAATTATCTGCCGCGGGCCGAGGCAGATGATTGGTCGTGCTTTTTACAGCGCCACGGCTTCCACAGATGAAATATTTGCATATATTTATTGCCAAAGCATTTAATTTGTTCATTGCTATCAGGATGTTAAGAGCATTCCATGGAATATAACAACAAGTGTTTCTGAAGTGAATTACCTTTAACTGTGTGTATTAAACAGGAATGTTCTGTGAGCTCAGATTTTATTTCTGCTTTTTTCAACTGTAGTATGTGTTTCATTGTTGGTGTGTAGGCTACTGCCTGATGATGCTTCATGAAAGGCAGGTTTTCCTATCAATAAAATCTCTGAGAAAAGGACACATTTTAGACCCTAAATATCTTGGTTTCTTCATATCTAAGGTCACATTGTTCAGTTGTCTTACAGACAAAAACATCTTATTGGTTATTATTTTTCTTTTCTTTTGTATTTATTGCCATTTGATCTTGAGGTAATCCAAAAGTAAGAGAACGTTCTATATGTTGATACTCTGATTTTATAGCAAATCGCTGAATAAAGCAGAGTTTATAAACTACTCTGTCTTTTCCGGTCATGATGGAATTAATGAAATATTTTGTGTCTCTCATTATATCAGGTCTCACTATGATGCATTTGAAAATGACTATCAGCTCACAGGACGCAGTGCTGGAAGAAAACCTTCCTGCAATGAAGAATGACCTCTTGATTCAAGTGAGTCCAAGGTCCCATTTTAAGTGTTGCAATAAAACATAGATGACATTTTGGATTTAAGCCAAATATGGCCATCTTCCTTGTCAAGATAAAAATCCAATAACAATCTGTCCCGTTTTTTAAACTGATGCAAATCATTATTTTCATAAGCTCCACTCCAGTCAACAGGCTTGTAGTAATGCACCTAAAGCTTTTTTTGATGGCCAAACATGCCAGAGGAAGAATAATTATTGCACTTTAGCCGTTTAAGGAGTAGTTTGTCCCAATACACAGTACTGTATGTCAAATGCAAGTTGCCAAAAATACCATGAAGTCCTACTGAATTTGGTCGCATATTGTAGTATGAAAACGTGCATAGTATTCGACCCACCATCTTCGGTGCTACGGAGAAGACATCACATTGACTGAAACCCTGAGAGAGAAGCAGAGCTCTCCATCTGTGGCGAGCATTAGCTCACATATTTTTACTTTAACGGTCCCCTATTATGTGTGTGTGTGTCTAAAATGTGCAGGCTTTGCAAAAATAATCGTCGTTTACAGATGGCTCCCGAACACATATCATGTGGTACCACAGAGTGCACCCAGTGCACTCAATCTTAAAAGAAACAGAAAAAAACACATGTTAGAATATTGACAAACCTTTTTTTTAAGGTTAACATCACTCATCCAGAGTAAGCAGTAATAAAGTTGTTTACATTTAATTAAACAAGCAATGTATAGGTTGGGATCTTAGCTGTTATCCTTTCTGTTTAGAGTCCGTGCTCAGAAGTTTCTTCAACTGCTCCAGTGTCCTCCCACAGTGCAAAGACATGCAAGTTTGGTGAATTAACGTAAACATTTTCAATACCTGTTATAGTGAGTGTTCACCCAGTGATGTAGAGGATAACCAATCCAGGGTGTATCCCAGTCTTCCAGACAAATGTTGGTCTGGAAATTAATACAACTTCTTACCCATTGGTCAACCTTAGGCCCTGAGTTACGTTCCCCACAGGCCCGACACAGCTGGGATAGGTCATCTGTAAAAACAAAGAAAAAGATAAGAAATACAGGCATTAAGGTAGTGAAATGCCAAACAAGACACAATATTTCTGTTTCCCTGGTCTAGTCCTTTATACCTGAGTTTTTCACAAGAGCCATTGCCATCTGGAACCTCATTGAGGCCACTCCTTCCAGGTCCACTGGGTACTGGACCTTTTCTTTGAGCAGTATTTGCTCTGCAAGCTTAAAAAGGTCTGTGATTAGTATCTTCGTATTTTTTTTGAAATTACAGATGAGTAAATGTTACCTTGCAAATGAACACACCACATGAAGTGGAATCCTGCTGGATTGGGTGAGTGAGGGTTGAGCAGGCCCATCTCCCAACCGAAGGTCTTTTTTTTCCGGACCAGCGATCTACACAGGAAACAGATAGATTGGGTTTTATATATAAGCCCAAGTAAGATACTTTTATAAGTCAAGAAGAGCTGAATGTTCACACATGACAATCTAATGGTATTCAAGTAAACAGTAGTAATCAGGAAAATGATTTATGTGGCTTTGTGTTGCTCCCCCTTAATATAATCCAAAATCATGAATATGTCTAGTAAAGACATTAGAGCTTATATTTTATTCACCTTGTTAAATCTTTACATCTGCTTAACTGCTTTTCCTTGGCCCCGAATGGGTCCAAGAACAGTGACCGGTTCTCGTTCAGATACATGATCTATGGAAGTGCAAAGAAAGTATTAAAGTGTTAAATAAATAAAAATGTCTTGACCATTAACATTTTAGATTACTTACAATGAGGGTCCAGTGTGCCCCGTCACAGACAGCTCCGGCTGCCACCTCATGTTTTGACAAGTCCAACTGAAAAATATTTGTACATACATCAGTACATATGTTCAAATAAACACTTATTTCTAGTCCTACTCCACTCACCTTTCTTAACCCTCCCTTGTGGGTTCCTTGCCAGAGGGAAGTCATCAAATACGAATCAAAAATGAATACCCCAAGCTTTGGCCCCAATCCACGACAGATAGGCATTCACAATCTATAAATACAACAGTATCTTTTTAACCAATTTGCTAGAGAATTATCAGTTTGCATACGTACATTTTTCTTAGAAAGTAGGCTTACTTCTCCCTCCAACTCCTTTCCCGGGGCCAAGACCAAAAGATCTTCACTGTAGACCTTGTATGGGCCATACTTGGCCCACAGCGTCTCCTTCCTCCTCCCTGCCCATATGTCTCGGATTACTGTAAAAAGAAAACATGTCAGTTATTAATGAAATGCATACTTTGAGGTGTACTTTGTGTCAGTTTACTTACAAGTCTCTTCATCAGACGGAGCCATGCTCTTGGTGGATGTGGAGGTGGTTGTGGAGGTGGTTGTGGGTGTGGGTGTGGATGTGGAGGTGGGTGTGGAGGTGGAGGTGGGTGTGGGTGTGGAGGTGGAGGTGGATGTGGGTGTGGGTGTGGATGTGGAGGTGGAGGTGGAGGTCAGTGGACCAGCCAGACGAGAAGGATCCAACACTTTTTTTATTTTCGCAGGGATCCTCTCCTCTGGTGTGACATAATGCGACAGATGGTCAATGTTTATTTGCATTGTCTTTTCACCCTTGTCTGCCCCAATGTCCGCTATTTTCCCCTCAATTGTGACAATCCTGTATGGTCCCAACATGTCTGGCTCCAGCTTTCCCCCTTTTCGTTGTTCTAAACGTTTGTTCCTTTTTAGAACTAAATCCCCCACTTTAAAATGGTCGACTTGCCCATGGTCGAGTTTCCTTTTGCGGACCTTCTCTTGGCTTTTTTTGATGTTGGTGTCCACCTCTTTGAAAACTGCCTCCTGTCTTTTGAGTCCCTCGAACAGTTCCTCTTTTTCCACCAAGCTACGGACTTTGTCTTCTGTTATCTGCCACAGAAAACCATTAGAATGTAGAGAAAACATAGATGTTTGAAATAAAAAACATTCTAAAGGATGAGAACATTAGCAGATCTTACTTCGTACTTCTCGGGCACCTCTGACGGGTACCTCGCCTCCCTCCCAAACATGAGATAGTACGGACTGAATTTTGTGGTCAACTGAGGCTTAGTCCTTAGAGCAAACATCGTCCCTTGAAGGAGTTGGTCCCATAGTTTCGGCTGACCTGCCACCAGTTTGTTCAGGGACCTAAATTCAGGTAAAGTACAAACACAAGAAGGTCGAAAAGAAATTGGTTTCTAATATATGATGAAGCTGCTGATTTATTTACTCTTGTTGTTTTAGGTATCAATTCTGATTAGTTAATATAGGAACAGTAATGTTTGTTATGCTATGAACAAATATACCTTTGTATTGTGCCATTTGATTTTTCTACCAGCCCATTGGTTTGTGGGTGGTATGGCGAGCACAGGCTTCTTTTGATGCCAAGCCTCTCACAAAGGTTATAGTTGATCTTGAAGTGAACATTGGGACAAACAGGAAATAAGTTTGTTAGCATAGCACAGTTACATAATGGGGAGTCATAATTCTTCAAAGTAGTACCTTATTACAAAATTCCCCGCCTTGATCTGTTAGCAGTCTTTTAGGTGCACCAAATTTGTAAAATAAATCAATAATACACTTGGTCACCTCATCTGCTGTTTTATTTTTAAGTGGGTATGCCTCTGCCCATTTGGTGTAATAATCAACCATGACACAAATGTATTGATTGCCACCATCGGTTACTGTGAGTTTACCCACTAGGTCCATCCCGACAAGCTCCAGAGGCTCTGTTACCTGAGATGAAAAAAATACACATGAGCATTGCAGTACATTACTGTTGACATGTTTGAAAGCTGAAACTGTCTTCAAATGTTTCCTTGTACCTCTATAGGAGTGTACTCGACCTTCTCCTTGATAAAGGCCCTCTTTGACTGGCACTGGGGACACTGAAGAACCTGAACCAAAAAACACACTATAAACTTTTCTGTGTTGCACTTTTGTACCATAATGTGTAATTTACCTCATTATTTTGAACTCACCCACTTGCGGATATCCTCCTCCATGCCAGGCCAATAATATCTTTGAATTATAGCCTGATGTGTTTTTTCTCTTCCAAAATGTCCACCAATGTGGCTGTCATGGAATTCCTCAAATACATCATTGGCTTCTTTGGCTGACACCACGACCTTGGCGAGGTGCTCTGCAAACATTTTTTCCTCCTGCATATGTAGTGCAGTTCCCCATCTGGTATTGAAATGTCATAATTATACATGTATTGAGAGTGTTATCATAGCAGATGATGTTCTGAAGACCACATGTCTGACATTGTTACCTATAATCCTGAAGGTCTCTGCTCTTCGCTTGATAATAAACCTCTGTGTTCTATTCAAGCCATCAGGATAACTGTTGTGGATCAAAAAATCCATCAGTTCTTTTACAACTACTGAATCCATCCCCTCCTGTTTAGCCCTACAGCTAGCTCTCCCTCCAATACACACACACACACACACACACACACTCACAAGGACAAACACTCTATCACTACTCACTTACGCACAGCCGATCTTTCTCTATCTATCTCTATTGTATCTCTATCTCTATCTCTATCTCTATCTCTATCTCTATCTCTATCTCTATCTGTCTCTGTCTCGCTATCTATCTCTGTCTCGCTATCTATCTATCTCTCTCGCTATCAATTTCTCTCTCGATACTCACAAACCAAGAAAGTTGTGACACTTCCTCCGGTTTATATAGCCTAGACAATCTAGGATAGAAATAAATATATATAGCATGTATATATATAGCATGTATATATATAGCATGTATATATATATATATATATATATATATATATATATATATATGTATATACATATAAAATAACAATTTCATTATATGGATTCAACTTGTGTCCTGCTCGACTTTTCTGTGGTTTACCCGTTACTGTGACATATCAGCCATGGACGATTGTTTGTTTCATTCTAAGCTATCCAGCAAGGTTATTTTCATTTATTTTGTATTTTTTCTGCACAGTGTAGAGTCTTGTTGTTGTGATGAGAGGGATGGAGGTATTTAATAAAAACCTTACTCGCTGGAGAATAGCTACAGAAGTCCTGTCACAACTTAATCGGAGAGGATCACAGCTTGCCACGGATCTCGATGCTGCATTCGGGCTGTGAGTAAACAACTTGTGTCTTACTTTTAGGCTGTCTGAAGGTATGGACAGCTATCAAAGCTACTAAACATCACATTAACAACGATGTACAAATGAAAGTCGGAAACAAATATATATTTGAAATGATTTATTCACGTTTGCAATGTTTTGAACAGACATCCCCAGTCACCTCATTGTCATTGTGTAGTCCTCGCTGTACGCGTCCGGATATCGGCATCGCAACCACAACCTCACACACCAAGGGCGCCGGAAGCGGGCGGGCCAGGGGGCCATTGGCCCCCCCACTTTTGAGCCCTGCCCTACATTTTCGCAGCGGCGGATGCCGCAGAACACTGTACAAATCCCGTTTCAATAATTCCCCTCTACTCTAAAGTCGCATCTAAAACGCGATCTGATCTAGCTGTGTATATTTTGTTATTTGTTATTGTTATATTCAATCTCATTAGCTACAGGCATTTTTGAAGCTTGTAAAGGGAAGATGACAGCTCGCCTCTCACTCGCCACTCTGCTCTTCCACAGCGCCGCTTCCCCTCCCTCTGCTGAAATTATGAATGTAAGGCGTATAGTAATCATATATAACACGGCAGGGTCCGTTACAGTTTGTTTGTATCTGATTTCAAATAAACAAAGTCTTGGCTTTCAGAATATTAAACTTGTTTCGGCAAATTCAGATGATAAATACAACTTTGAAGCTTGTAACGGCATAATCACAAGCGGAGACCGGAGTAACTTGACGTCACAGCACGCATAAGAACAGCCGGTGTTTCTTGTGAGTGTTTTCCCCGGGAAACAAACACAATACACACACAAACGCAAAAATACACAAACACGTATACACACACTCGCGGGCTTCCCCCAGAACAGTAATCCAAACGAAAATATCTTCCCTCCGTTACTACTTTGATCATTTGCTCCGCTTCCAGAGGAGAGGAAACTTTAAAGGCCTTTTTCTCAAAATGATGACTCTGTAACAGTCATTATATAATGTGACATATTTTGCTTAATATTTGGGAGTACAAAAACTATCCTGATATCATTAGAAAGCTAGGAATCTCCTCTTTCCAACAGTGTATAGTATAGTTGACGCGAAGACACATTTTGAGTTGTATACACTGTATACAACTCAAAATGTGTCTTCGCGTCAATGCGACTGATTTCGATGGAGCAGGTTTGCATTAGGTAAAATAAAGCAGGCAGACATAACAGGAAGAATATGTAAATTTTAACCCAATCAAATAGGACATTGTCACACCATTCAAATGTATCCATGTAAATTACAACCAATAAAAAAGCTTAGATGTGTTTATTTGTTACGTTGTTTACTTTATTTGTTACGTTGTTCTGTGTGTGTCAGCCGTTAAACCAGATAGAAAAAATAGATACACTTGCAAACAAGTCAGAAGAACCAGCGCAGAAGAAAACTAAATACAGTCAATCTAAACTTACATTTAACAACTGGAAGGTCACATCCCTGACATCCACTTCTCCGGAGCCTGGACCTTCATCAATCATAGAAGAACCAGCGAAGCGAGAATAGATAAACCCAAAAGCAGCAGCTCTGCGGCCGCAGAGACTGTCAAAACCGCCGCCGCCGCCACCCCCACCGCCATCGTTGAATCGAAACAGGCTGGTTCTGACTGCATGGAGGTTTGTTGTCGGGACATTGAGGCGGGTAAAGCTGTACAGCTAACTGTCGAAAAAAAGGAGACCGCTAGATCGTCTGGGCAAAGAGAAAGGTACTTCAACGCAGAATGGTACAAAAACAGAGAGTGGTTAATTATTTGCAAAACCACTAAACGGGCCTTCTGTGAAATATGCAGATTTGCTGCTGTCAAACGGCTTGTAACTTTCTCAAAATGTGGAGATGATAGCTATGTTAATACCGGAGTTAATAACTGGAAAAAGTGCCCAAGCCTCCATGAACAGTTGTCTCTGACTGTACGATGGGTATCAGCTGATTATGTTGTCCATGAAGACTTCATAGTATGACTGTCCTAAGACTGACGCAGAATCAATAACCCACTGATAAACTGCGATGTTAACAACCTCATGATAACCTCATATGTTTTTAACTTAGGATCATAGGCTACCTGTGTTTAGTCTAGAAAAAGGTAATTGTGTGCATTTTATTATAAAGTTGTGTATATTTACAGACTGTTGCAAAAACTAATAAGCTTATAAACATAAGGTTTAAAACTAAAAGAGCTTTACAAAAAAGTAACACAATTAAAGATGTTTGGAGTTTTATTTTAGTTATTAATTTACATTTTTTTGTCAAAGAGATGCTGATTTGAAACCGTTGTAGTTACGGCATTTCCTGTTTCTGCCGGAGAGAGGGGAGTTTGTCCCAAAGCTTGCCGCTGTCTCTCTCCATCTGACAGGAGGGAGCCTCATGTGTCACTCCACGGAGTTCACTCCGTCACGGAGGGGGAGTGTGTCGGGCGTAGTTTGGGATTGGGCCATACACACGCACTTTTTTGGCCCCCCCACTTCTAAAATGAATCCGGCGCGCCTGTCACACACTGGTACTGAATGTGCATCAACGTTTTCCTATGGAGCCAAATATACCAAAAGATAAATGTAAACAACAGAAGAAGCGATCGAAATGTGTATTTCCTGGTTATTCGTGGCTCCTCAAAGTACACGCCCCTGACGCGTCTATCGTTTTTCCAACCCAGTTTAGATCCCACTTCCGCATTACGCAAGCATCGACACGGCGTTACGTCACAGCATCAACCTGGCGTCACATCCCTATGGTTACATCACTGCCTCACGCAACACACCCGCGAAATCTGAATCTGACAAGCGAAATACCGTCCTTTTAAACGCCGCATAATATACAATATACAATATAATAGTGCTTCTTTGTCAATATGACTGACGACCACACTTATGCAGTGCTGAGGTAATGTTAATTCATCATTTAATATTAATTCCTGATGGATATAAGAGGGATACATTAGCAAACATCTGTATATATAGCCTATATATATATATAATGTTTCGTTTTTTTGTTTGTCATCTAACATATTAACGTTTTGACCTTCTGTTTAGGATGTAAAGGTATCTATTTAATGTTTTATTTAAAGGTAGACATTTATAATATGTTATAAATGTCTATTTTGTTATATAATACAACATATAACATTTTGCCATGTAAAAATGAAATGTTGGGACATTTATAAAAATGTATTCCTTTACATAAAAGTGCTTTCCAGAGGTGTAAGAAGTGATAAGATCTTGTACTTGAGTAAAAGTACAAGTACCAGAGTGTAGAAATACTCAAGTATAAGTACTAAAGTATTAGCATCAGAATAGTACCTGAATAACTATAAGCTGTTTTTTTTGCTTTCATTTCAGACCTCGTGTTTTAGTGTGCTCTGGAGGCACACAGAACAATATAGAGGAGTACCCGCAGTTGAAGGTATCTGATAATAAGACCTATCTCTCAATACTATGATGAACATCAAATTACATTGAATGTGTTTGCTCATATCAATGCCTCACCTACACATCATCATCATCATCATCTAAACTATACCACTTAATAACAGACTTATTGTCCAGATAAAAGATAAGGCATTACAAAGAATAACATGCAAACACATGAAGTACATTTAAAGAGAATATAAACATGTTAGCATAACTATACCAATGTTTTAGGATTTTGAGGGTTGGATTTTTATTTTTCAGACTTTTTAAGCCTGCAAGTATAATGTGTATTCTACTCTAGTTCTAAGTAAAGTCAGTACATTTTAAACCTCATGGTCCTCTTTAGTTCTTCAGATCATGGCAAAACTCTTACTGGTATTCTGAGCTGACACAGTATTATGTGTGTGAATTTGAATGAATAGTTGTCTGTTTCCTTGTAGGGTTGGCTACCAGGTGAGTTCAGATACCACGTGTGCCAGTATGAAGAGGTGGTTTCACTGGGGGACCACACTGGTTTTGAGGCCACTTTGAGGCTGGATGTCCACACTGTGGAACAGGTCAAGGAGTGGGTACAAAAGCTGAAGGGGTCATCAGGGGTGACATGGAGGGTGGATGTTACCCGACCCAGGTTGGGGAAGCGGGTGCTTTTCAAAGTAAGTGTTGTCTTGTTGATATTTCTTGAAGTTACCTTTTAATTATCCTTTTTACTTTGACCTGTAATATAATAAATCTGCTTTATTTTGTTCAGGCAAGTTATAAGTGTCAGCATAGGGTGAACCCGAGAGCAGCCAAAAGCAGCAAGAACACCTGCTGTCAAGCAAAAATGCACACGACACTCAAGAGTACTCGTGGGGAAATGAAGTGAGTTTACTGATCCACATACTTATTATTTCACGTTTTGCTTTTTTTACATAATATTGATATATATATTGATTTATGTTATAGGACCGAAGACCCACACATGCCTGACCTACCATTTAAGGTTATTCTAATAAACAGGCACAACCACAATCTTTTTGTTGCGGACGCCATCCGCCACCGAGATGTTGGGTTAAAGGCAAACAACATACTCACAGGGCTCTTTGAAATTGGCCACACTCCAACATCTGCACTGGCGGTCCTGAAACACGACCTCCAAATGGAGTATGGGCAGCGTTATGTGTACGTGTCGGCCAACAGGGAGATTTGCCCCGACCTGCCTTATGTACAGAGGTGGGTATCACATCTGGAAACATGGTCAAGATACCTACTACCCACTATATAAATAACGATGCAATAAAAACTATGATGTATTCAGTGAATACAAATACGCTTTTCTACTGCATGTAAGTGACACCCATACCAACTAATTCATTTTCTACCCAGACTGTTCCACAAGGTGTGTAGGGAGGAGTATGGCACGCAAACAGGTCCCACGATGTTGGCAGCGCTCAAGCTTCAAGTGGAGAGTTACAACAATAAGTGTAATGACACCTGTGCTCTCCTGGGAACAACTTCCCAGGGAGCTCCTCTTGTGGTTGTGTGTTCTCCACTCATGAAGAAAGTGCACCAACTGAAGCACAGTGGGGAGCTGTGCTTCATAGATTCCTCAGGGAATATGGACAGGGAGAACTGCAGGGTATTCCTCCTCCTGACCCACAGCTGTGCAGGTGGCCTCCCTCTGGGCATTCTCCTCTGCCAGTCTGAGGATGAGCAGACTATTGCTCAAGGGCTGGAACAGCTCAAACAAGTTGTTGGAGAGAAGGGCTTTGCTGGCAGAGGACACGAAGGGCCACAACTGGTCATCACAGATGACTGTAGGGCAGAGAGGGGAGCTCTGGGAAAAGCATTTCCTAAGGCCACACTTCTCCTGTGCTCCTTCCATCTGCTACAAGCAGTTTGGAGGTGGCTGTGGAGCAAGGAGAGTGGGGTCACTCACGGAGACAGACCGGCACTTTTTGCCATTGTAAAAGAGATGCTTTACTGTCAGGAGATAGGCAGTGTGGATAGGCTTTACAGCGAGGCAAGAGGGCATCCAGTTGTAGCCAGGTTAGTGTTTAATGCAGACAAGTTAGTGATGTTTTGTTTAGCCATATGAGAGAAATTGACTTATTCTTATCAAATAACATCCAACACCCAATGTAATGAAGTGATTAAGCTTTACTGTTTGGATAATTTTTTCTTTTTTTAACCAATTGCAGGTATGAAAAGTTCCTCAGGTACTTGGACCGACTGTACGCCAGAAGAGAGTGTTGGGCCCTCAGTTATAGAGGCAGTTTCCTCACCAGAGGAAACAATACCAACAATTTTGCAGAAGCGGCAATGCGTGTCCTCAAGGACAAAATACTGCAGAGGACAAAGGCCTTCAACCTTCCTCAGCTGTTTGATCTGCTGACCTCGAGGCTGGAGACCTATTATGAGGCACGCATTGTTGATGTTGCCCTTGGACGCTGGGAATCATTCCAGCGAGCAAAATTCCTCCCCCAAGATGGCAACATTGCAGCATTGCATATTCAGCAGGTAATGGATATAACAGCTGAAAAAACATAATATGCTATAGGTTTATCACTACAGAATCAATATGCACATATGTCACTTGTGTAACAAATACATTTATCCTTGTTTGACTTGTGATTTTGCAGATTGAGGACAAGAAGTTTGTGGTACACAAACTTATGATGTAGACATGGATTTGGAGCTGTGTTCTTGCCCTGCAGGACAAACAGGAGCGCCTTGCAAACACCAGGCAGCAGTGATGAAACATTACAGCTGTTTGTCACACTCCTTTCTACCAATAAATCCAGAGATGAGAGCAGAGCTGATGAAACTGACATCGGCAGGTAAAGTCAATATTTTAACAATAACTGGTGTAATGAGACTGCCAACATTTCATGTTTTGATTACAAGATAAAGGATATACACTGTTTAGTTTTTAATTAATGTTGATCCCTTAATGTTTTATAGAAACCATCTCTTTGGATTTCCTCCAACCCCTCAGACTTGAAAGGCAATCATGTCAGTCGTTTAGAAGTAAGTAATACACAAAACTTACATTAATAATGGTGTAATTATATAAAATAATTGAAACTTTAAATCAAAATAACAAAGTAGTTCTATATTATCCATGTCCATCACTAATACCATGTGGGACACACATAATTGATGTATCTCTTGGTATCTGTAGGCGCTCATGAACCAAGCACTACGCATCAGGAGCAACAAGATGAAGGTTTGTTATGAACATTTCAACTGAACAACACAAGCACACACACACACACACACACACACACACACACACACACACACACACACACACACACACACACACACACACACACACACACACACACAATATATATATATATTTACCTAGACTTTTCTTTCCCCTTGGACCATAACATCAGAAAAGAGGCACTGCAATAGTTAATACAAATTAACTGAATACTATCGTATGCTACTCTTCACAGGTGTATTGACAGCACAAGTCCAGCCCTCCAGAAGTGTCACTGGTGATAGGCCACAAGAAGGTGAGTTGTGAGTGTGCAGGTTTATGTTCACACATCATTTTGGTGCTTAATAGATTGATGAATTAATAAATTGTTACTATATGTATAATATCAACTTAAAAAATAAACCTTTAATTTAAATATTTTTCCCTCTTAGATATCGCATCAGATGACGTCTCTCTTGTGGATAACATGATGGAGGAAATGAAAAGTCGTTGCCAGGATCCACATTTCACTGCTGGGCTACTGGCAATGGCTAAGCAGTACAATGTCCTGAGAAGCAACCCCTCCAAACTGCTGTCAGCCTTCCATTCCTTTGGGAAATCTGGCAGCCTGACCAGCAAAAGGGCCGCCATTTTAAGGTGGGCTTCCAGACGTCAAGGCCCGATGATTGGCTGCCAGCCTACAGCTGTTGCACGCAGGAAGTCAGGCGCTGGCTCAAGACGGCGTTTATTTTCTGGGCGCCCTGTGAAACAGCACAATTTAAGTTTGGCAGTGGTGTTGAACACCAGCCATTCAAAAAAACATTAATGTATTTATTGTATCCCTCTGTTTAGAGGCAGGACACTTCAGTGCCCCTCTACACCCTCTGACTCCTCGTCACCCCCATCCCTCTGTTTAGAGGCAGGACACTATTTGGTGCCCCTCTACACCCTCTGACTCCTCGTCACCCCCACCCCTCTGTTTAGAGGCAGGACACTTCAGTGCCCCTCTGCACCCTCTGACTCCTCGTCACCCCCATCCCTCTGTTTAGAGGCAGGACACTAGTCAGTGCCCCTCTACACCCTTTATGTATCTGTTTGTATATGTGTATGCCTTTCTTTCTCATTTGTTTTTCACCTTATGTCTTTGTCATGTCTTATCCCATTTATGGCCTGTACCTTGTCGTGGTAAGTGGGCTTTTTACCAAATCAGGCCTCAAGGTGTATCTCAAATGCTGAAATATAACCTCCCTGTTAATACAAATCCATTACCCTACATCACAGTATGAAATGACTAAAGGTCCACTGCCCTCTGCAGTCATGAAATCTTTCCAGAGGCTGGTGTTGATCCAACCTAAAGGACATCACATGACCCCTGCTTGACCTCCTGCAGTTGATGCAAACAGGTAAGTGGATCATGCAGTCAACTTGGGATTGTATCCTGGGACTTCAGCTCAGCATTCAGCAGTCCCCTGCTTCTACCTCACCCCTCCCACTGTCCCAGCCTTCACCTGGTGAGACATATACACCAATTAAAAGGCATGATTATTACAGTCAACCCTTATTCAGAGTGCCTAAATGTATATATTTTTTTACAGTGCAGATTTTGGCTTTTTTGGGACCATCGCACATGTGTGTAAGTAACAAGTAATGCTGTATAATCTGCAACAACTGTCAGGTGGTGTTATTGATAATCTTTGCAAAAGAGCCCCCACCAATATTGATTTTGACAAATATCTTTTAATTGAAATATGGGAGCAAAAACAAAAGGGTAGAATTGATCATATCATATTATGTTATTATTATTGCAACTGTTTTTATTATATTGTGTTGTTTTGTTTATATATATATATATATATATTTATGTGTGTGTGTGTACAAATGATTATTGCCACTGTGTTTATTATATTGTGTTGTTTTGTTTGTGTGTGTTTATTTATACATACATATATATATATGTATGTGTGTGTACAAATGAATTAATATAAAGTGTATATGTGAGTGTGTGTATAAATGAATGAATAAATCTGTGTGTATAAATGAATAAATACACGTGTGAGTACATATAAGTGTGTGTTTATATATATATATGTTTCAGCTGATAAGATCTTTAAAACGTCTTTTGTTTGTCCTGAAAACGAAATTTGAGGATACACACAGGCTATTTATAGATGATAAAACACCAGTAATACAATCTCAGGACTCTTAGATATGGCTTTGATTATAGGATCGTTTACTTTCAGTCAAACCAACTATTCAATATTCTGCTTTACCGCGACAGCTATAACTGCCGAAGATGAAGTCTATGTAGTCTATGACGCTATCACGTAGAGCTACGTCAATGCTTGCGTAATGCGGAAGTGGGCGTGGTTAAATCTAAACTGGGTTGGAAAAACCATAGATATATATAAACAATATTTATATATATATATAAATATTTATATATATATATAAATATATATATTTATATATATAAACACTGTTTATATATATCTATGGGAAAAACGATAGACGCGCGCGCCCCTGACACATTCCTACCGTTATGGAACGTCACGAGTTCCCCCGCGTTACCACTTAAACGGTAACAGACGTTAGCAACAGTAGTCAGATTGAGAGTTTGATGGAGAGAGAAACGGTGTGTTTAACGGAGTCTGCAGGAAAAGGTGATCTAGGAAACATGAGTAAAGTCCAAATGCTGCTGTCGTTGAAGAAGCAGCGGTTCACTGCTGCTGCAGAAGATATATTTGCTCTGTTTGAACAAACAATAGCAGAGTTCGAGGAAGAGCTGTCTCTTTCCAAAGAGGAGAACAAGAGACTCCAGAAACTACTGGACGCTGTTTTACAGCCTCAGCTTCGGATACACAGAGCAGGTCTGTTCCCTTTATGGCGCATTTCCATTGCAGCGCGTAGCTCGCTTTAAGCGTGCCGTGTCGTGCCGTCCCCTTTTTTGGTTGTGCTTCCACTAGGCCTCGTTCCGGCGCGGCACGGCGCGGGGCCACTTTTTCCCCTCTTTTCTGGCCCTAGAAAATTGTGGTTCTATCGGGGCCAACAAACAGGGCTGAGTCGGGCTGAGTATGCTAAACTAGAGAGAGGAGCGCTGGCAAGAGGGCTAGAACTACAACAAGATAGACATATTTGACCGTGATTTAATTGTAATACACGTTTCAAAATGATGCCGAAGTAACAACATACTGATACCGGTTAGTAAAAACCATGAATTAATGCTTTGTCAAGTCTGCAGACAGACGGCAGGCGAAAAACCTTTTAAAATTCGTGTTTTTCTAGATGGAGATTGGCTAAGCTAACGCAGTATATGCCCCGACCGTCCACACTCACAACAACGGCCTATACAGACATAAATTAAGCAGCGACTGTATTCACCATGACACAGGCAGTCTGTGGTGTGTACTTGTTTAACTTTTGTCGAGTTTCTGAACATATATAAGGAGCTGTGAGCTCTGAGTGCTCACAGCTAACGGCTGTGTTGTGTTTCTGGATTTCTCATTGAAGATGACGTCACGGCTCCGCCTACACTGCGTTACTACCCAGTTCCTAAACTGTAATGGAAGCGCAGCATGAAGTGAGTCGGCCCTGTTAAGGCCCAACGCGGCCAAGCCGTACCGAGCCGTACCGAGTGTGGCCGAGGCCGACCGTGTAGTGGAAATTACTCTCCATTAACACTTTAAACTCTTCAGTAGCACTTTATTATCACATTAATAACACTTTAGACCCTTTATCAGCACGTGCTGCAGGTAGTACATCCTGAAGTAAAAGTACAAACACCACACTGTGAAAATACTCCATTGCGCGTTACCACTACACGGCCTCGCTCGGCCCCGCTCGGTATGGCTGGGCCTCGTTAGGACTGGCTCACTTTATGGCGCATTTCCATTACAGTTTAGGAACTGGGGTAGTATCTATAGTAACGCAGTGTAGGCGGAGCCGTGACGTGATCTTCACAGAACCCCAGAAAAACAACACAGCCGTTAGCTGTTCGCACTCAGAGCTCACAGCTCCTCATATATGTTCAGAAACAAGACAAAAGTTAAACAAGTACAAACCACAGACTGCCTGTGTCATGGTGAATACAGTCGCTGCTTTATTTATGTCTGTATAGGCCGTTGTTGTGAGTGTGGACGGTCGGAGCATATACTGCGTTAGCTTAGCCAATCTCCATTTAGAAAACAAGCATTTTAAAAGGTTTTTCCCCTGCCGTCTGTCTGCAGACTTGACAAAGCATTAATTCATAAACCGTGCTCCGCGCTGTAGTGGAAACGCTAAAGTACTGCATTAATATCTTAATTAAGTAAAAGTATGTAAGTATTATTAGACACATGTACCTTATTATAATTATTACGGAAGAGCAAACCTACCAAAATAAATATATTTTTAAAAATATATACATTGAATAATATGCCATTTAATTTACTGATTTAAATATTACCCATGCATGTAGGCACTAGTTGATTAAATGTGACATACATTGATACTTTAGTTTTAATGTGCTTCTTTATTCACCTTTTCTTTTTAAATGTGTAAAAGCAAATA